TCACAGACATTCCAGCCCGGACTGGCTTTGAACCGCGATCCTCAAATCTCAGCCTCCTGAGTAGCTAGGATTACAGGTGTAAGCCACTTGTGCCAGCTAAATTCTGGTTTTTGAGTGGTTAATTGGAGGTAAGAGTCTCATGGGGACTTTTCTGCCTAGGCTGGCTTTGAACTGTGATCTTCAGATCTCAGTTTCTGGAGTAGTTAGGATTACAGGTGTAAGTCACTAGCGCCCAGCTACTTTTTGAATAGGGTACTACTTTTATCCCAGGCGGGCCTGGATTGTGATCCTCCAGTTTGTATTTCTCATGCACTGGGAGGACAGGTATGCCACTGTGCCCAGCTGTTTATTGGTTGACATGGGGTCTCTTGAACTTTTTGCCAGGGCTGGCCTTGAGCTTCAATCTTCTTGATTTCAGTCTCTAAGTAGTTAGGATTACAGGAGAGAGTCAACATACCCAGTGGTTTTATTTTTCAAGTAATTGAAAAAGATAAAAAGGATATTTTGTGACATAGGAAAATGATTCACAAAGGTGAAGAGGGGCAGATTTTTTTTACCCTTCATCTTTTTTTGTTAAAAATAACTTACATGTTATATAAGAAGTTAAAAGCTGGTCTTCTAACCATGGGTCTTAGTACATCTTTACATTCTATAACTATCAGTTGATTTCTACCCTATGGCTTAGCCAGGCTTACATCAGAGTTTGAGATAAAGCTGCAGTTTTTCTTAGTTTAGTTGATAACTTCCTTCCACAAGACATGTTTTCTTTTCCTACACTATACACAGACCCTAGTGTATAGTTCTAAGATTGATCTGGATTCATGTTCCTTTGATATCTTTTGTTTCTAAAGGCTTTTATCTTTTGCAAACACTTCTATACTTGTTTGGTTTTTGTTTTATCTCTCATCTCTAGTCTTAACCACTGTCCTTTATTAATCAACTCATTAATACTTTGCATCAAGTTGAATATATATACACATATGAATTATATTTCTGCATATTAGAATTTAAAATAAGGGCTTAAAAAAAGAAATACAGGAGGTTGTACTGTAGTTCAAGTGGTATAGCACTGGCCTTGAGCTGAAGAGCTGAGGGACAGTGCCCAGGCCCAGAGTTCAAGCCCTATGACTGACCAAAAAAAAAGGAATTTAGTTTTTTCAGGAATTATATTTATCTCCTAGTCTTAGTCTCAGGATTAAATAAAACAGAGTGAAAAAATCTTCATTCCATATTGCATTTTACATATTTCACCATAGACATATTAGGATTGGAAAGCTAGTGGAGATGAGATATAAAATTTCATTTATCACTAGGTGCTGAGGGTTCATACCTGTAATCCTAGCTACTTAGAAGGCTGAGATCTGAGGATCATGGTTTGTAGCCAATGCCAGACAGGAAAATCCATGAGACTTTTATCTCCAGTTAACCACCAAAAAGCCAGAAGTGGAGCCATGGCTCAATTAGTGAAGCAAAATAGTTTAGATACAGTGCCCAGGCCCTGAATTCAAGCCCCAGGTCCAGAACACACAAAAAATTTCATTTATCTACATTGTTTGATTTCTAAGATTCCTTGGTAATTTATACTATTCACATACGAAAACTGTCTTAATGATATTTGAACATTTGAATGTGTTGTGAGTGTGTGTGTGTGTGAGTGTGTGTGTGTGTGTGTGTGTGCTGGTACTAGGGGTTGAACTCAGGGCCTTGGTGCCGTCACTTTTGTGTATAATTCCACATCTAGCTTTTTGGTGGTTAACTGGAGATAAGAGTCTCATGGACTCTTCCCAGGTCTGGCTTTGAACTTCAGATTTCAGCCTCCTGAGTAACTAGAATTACAGGTGAGAGCTACTGGTGCCTAGCTGACAATTGGATTTTTGGAACAACGTTTTCAGTTTTAAATTCCATGCTATTTTTTTTTTTTACAAAGTGTAAGGTTTATTCTCTTTAAGAAGAAGCCAGGAAGTAACTACTAAAAAGTGTAAGGTTGTCAGATTGCCTTTGAGCATCATATGTCAGTGGAGTGCCTGGAACTGTGGAACTGATCCTTGGTGTGTAATTCATTTGTAATAGTTTTCCCTTTGGAGGTTGCATGATTTTAATAATGCTGACTCAGAGGTCTCCAGTCATTAATTCAGTCATGATTAACTACTGTTTGTGAAAAATTGGGTGATTTAAAAAATTCTGTCGAATTGAATATTTACAGCATATCCTAGGACAGGTTTGTTTGGTTAGGTGGCAAAGCAGAAGAAGGATTTCCCTCTGCCATTTTAAATGTGAGTTTGGTAGCTCTTTACCTCTTTGTTGCTTTAATTGCTCTGCTAGTCCCACTATGCCAGGAATCATATGTTATCATTAAAATAGATTCTAAAAGAAAACAACACAGTAGTTCAAAATGTATATCCTCAGGAAACCTCCAATGACTAGCTACAATTTGCCTAGTACTTTGAGTTATTCAAGTCAAAGCTGAGAACACTGAACTCCATTTCCTTTTTTTCCTTTTTGTGGTACTGCTGTTTTAAGTCAGGGCCTGCTGCTTTGTGTTTTACCACTTGAGCCACAACACCAGCCTTTTTAAGGCTTATTTTTCAGGTAAGCTATATGTGTGCTGTCTGGCAGGCCCCTGGATGGCATACAATCATTTTACTTATATTTGCTTCTGGAGGTGGGGATAAAGGTGGATTCACACTGTGAATCACCATGACTGATTTGTTTGTTGCTGACTTTTGCTTGGGCTGACCTCTAACTTAGATCTTCCCAGTCTTTGCTTCCTGAATAGTTAGAGAAACTATTTCTGAAGGTGAAATGATACCTGATGAAAATGGTGCCTATTTCATAGAATTGTTAAAGTTGAGATAAAGATAAGGAAAACTCGTGGTGTGTTTTCTGATACATAGTGATGGCTCATCAAATCTGCAAATAAGCATTACCTGTTCTGTTTTAAATGTTTTCCATGGGAACAGAAAGGTGGATTGGGAAGAGTATGGGCTTCTGAGTCAGCCAGTTGCCTATGAGGCATACTGAGAATTTCAATTAACGGTTTGAGCCACTGCTTCTTTATTTATGAAACGAATATATAGTAATAATATCCAGTTCACTGGATCGTTGTAAGCTAAGTGCCTATTATGGCCCTTTCCTACCAATTGATTATCAACAAGTTAACATTTATGAAGCCTACTCTGAGGACAAGGCAGAGCACAAAGTGTCACTGGAGGTTTCTAGAGAAAATAAGCACATGTTCTCCACCATAGCTAGGGAGACCCATCTAAATAAACAAAATCAAGCCAACCACACACAATGAATTGCAGATGATATATGCAAATTAAAGTAGCTGTCTCATCTGTACCCATTTATATTTTTCCTAGGGTGAATGTGGAGGGATTTTCAATGAGAGCCCCGTTTCCTGGTATTTTTACAAGTCAGCAGATCTCCAAAGCCCAATTAAAATAGACTAGTTAAAGATCTTAAAGACAACAACAGCAATACCCCAAACAGGTGCAGTCACAAACTGCTCAGTGACTTAGCAGCTAAAACCTCTTATCCCTAACCAAAGGCAGATACCTCCGACTACCTTGGAGAGGTAAAGCCAGAGAGTGTGACACCCAGTGGTTTGAACAGAAGCAGCTGCAGAGGGGCCGGTTCTCAGCATCAGCAGCCTGCCCATCACTGCACCTGAGAACTTTCCTCAAATCTCCTGACCGACCCCGGGCGTGGCACCGGGCCACCAGGCCTGCAGAACTGCAGTATTCACACAGTTAAAACTCTTCCAAGGGGACCAAAGGAAGGGGAGGGGGGGAAAAGAGGGGGAGGGGACAAGGGAGAGGAGAAAGGAAGAGGTAGGAGGGAAGAGAGAGAGCCCGCCCACGCAAAGGAAGTTAACACGGTGCCGACGCCCCGCCCCTCCAGGGCCCCGCCCTCCGCCAATCCCCGCCCCTCCGCCAATCCCCGCCCCCAAGGCCCCGCCCCCTCCCTGCCCCCTATCCTCTCGGGACGGACCGCGGGCGGCCCCTGCCCGCGTTCACCCCCCTTTCCCCCCCAGCCCCGCGTTCCAGGCCTCAGCGCCGCCGCCGCCCTTGGCACGCGCCTGCCGCGGCTT